ACCAAACCCAGGTCCCCCAGTTACAAGAACTGCCGCTGCTTTTTTAGTTTGAATGGCACTAAGGATTTGTTCCACCTCTTTGGATCGTCCAAAGATATCATTCTTATCCGGAAGACAGTTGGTATGTTCACTGATGGATTGCTCTGAAATAGAAGCTTGAATAGCAGAAATTTCTCCTTTTACTGTCAGATAGTCATTCTCCAGCTTGTCTACCCGTGGTTCAAAGTCCATTTTCCACTTCTCTACTTCTTCGTTTATTCGACGTTCAGTGTCATGATCAATAGGCTCAGTTTTAAGGCGATCCACTTCCTCTTGTTTGAGTCCCAATGCCACCAATGACTTAACAATCGTCTGCCACTCGTCTTGGAATTCGACATTAGAAATGCCAGTGGATTTTCCGTGACACAGCTTATTTCTGAGGACCTTGATCCGGACGATGTTAGCTTCATCGCTAGTATCAGTATCAACAGGTATTTCGTTCCATCCGTTAGGAACTGGTGCAGTCAAACCGCAAACTTCCCGTAGTAAAAGATGCAAAAGAGTTATGTCAAATGTTTGAGAGTCCGGTGGTCCAGCAGAAGGAAATAACCGATGCCACTGAGTGTTGGTAATTATCTTCTTAGATTTCAAGTATTTAAGCTTTGGACTGTGGTTGTTAAGCACGTCTTGCAGTGTTAAAGGCGAAACAATACAATTCTGTAGATACTCTCTCAGAACGTGCATGCCTCCATCAACAACCAGTCGTAAAAGTTTTGTGCCATTTGTTTTTTCCTCCGAAGAATCGAGAACAGAATTCATTTCCCTCACTTAATTTTGCTCACGAACTGCGTAGATTCGTGCGAAAATCAACCCGTCTGAGGGTGTAACTTTTGCTTCCTCAGGCAGTCACTATTCACGCGATCAATATATACAGATCTAGCTGTCTTAGGCCTAGTTTATACGTCGCGCAACAGTCGAATTTAATTCAAGGTTCCACAAGCAATTTAATTCGACGATAGCGCGACGTCTAAAACGAATTAAATTCGTCCTTGACGTATTATCCGTAAGACGGATAAAATATCGATAACGCGTCTTCAGTTTTAACGTCCCACTAGCGTCGCGCCAAATGGAATGCATACATTTTATTAATGTATTTCAACCGCGCCATGTTTGTTCCAAATGACACCTCTGACCAGAGGCAGTGCATTTGGGAAGGGAATTAGAGTTCGACGCATAAAATCACGCCAAGATTTACGTTGACGGAACGACGAACTTAATGGAATTAAATTCGTCTGAATTAAATTCGACTGTAGCGCGACGTATAAACTAGGCCTTAGTAACGTACATAAGAAAAAGAACAACAACAACAACAGAAACAACAAAATGTTTTCATTTTTGGCGACAAAAATACAATCTAACAACCGCAAAACAGCGAAGCTAGTCGAGGTGAAAGGGAAACAAACATTAAAATAAATTCTTTAAAAGCAAGTTTGACTGAGCAGAGGAAATGACTTGGATAGCATACGTATACACGAACAATAAAAAACGGTACGATAAGTTATAATTAAAGATAAGCCAATTTGATATTACAACTTACAAATGAAATAAAATTACACGCGAAAAAAAAAAAACAACAACAACAACAACAACAGCAGCAAATGTAGCTAAAAATATTACAATTTTCTAAATTTATCAATTAAAGTATGGACGTCAACCTAAGTATCCTCTCGCATCAAAATGTTCAGCAACTATCTATGCAATACGATATATTTATTACACGACTCGGGCAGTCAGAGGGCCAATAACTAAAATCAACCAATCAAAATGCTCTATTGCCGGTCAATATTCTCTCAGTATTGGACCGGGCACTGTCCCGAATGGTCCCGAATGATACCGCACTTGTGTCCCTTTGAACTTCAGTCGTATAATAAATCTCTTATTAACCAAGCTTGCTCGGGACCGTACTGGAAGAATATCGGCCCTCGGTCTTTTTTGTACGGACCTCGCTGCGCTCGGTCCGTACTGTCAAGACCTCGGGCCGATATTCTCCCAGTACGGCCCTCGCGCTTGGTTGATCAACAATTATTCCACGAGCGCGCGTTGGATATGAGACGATAGATAGCCAACGAGGCGCGTAACGCCGAGTTGGCTATAATCATCTCATATCCAACAAGCGCGAGTGGAATAATTGTTTTATTAAAAACACCCCCAAGATATTAGGCAAATCTTTATATTAGACAAATTTTTGAGCTCCCTTTTAATTTTAAGCTGACGCGCACGCTTACCATATTTGTAGATTTTGATATATTGGCTCATATACCATAATGGCTAAGCCAATAAAAAGTCTTGAATTGCATTATCCAATGATCCAGTTTTTAATAATAAGATATATAAATTTATACTTAGGTAAAGAACGAAGACAGATAGGAGAATTATTCCATATCCTTACACCCAACCTTGAAAAATAATTTTTCATATATTTTGTTCTTGAATATTTGAAATAAAGATTGCCAGCCGCTGAGGACCTTGTATAACAGTGGCGTTTTTCAGACGAATAACCGAATAACCTTGAAATGTCAGGTGTTAGATTGTTGACGAGATCATGTATAAAAGAACAGATTGTTTTGAAATAGATGAGATGAAGTGGAAGAATGTTTGACAGTTTGAAAAATATTGTGCGTAGAGCTCACTTTTGCAAAATAAACACCTTTTCCAAATTTGATTAGGCACTTCGGCCCCAGACTGCAACAGTAGACGAGTAAGGTTGAATGAGTCGATATATATTATGTTAAGCGATACAGTTTGTTGGAAAAAATGTCTCAATCTTGATAACATGCCTAAAGACTTGCTAATTTGAGAGGAAATAAATGAAATGTGTTGAGTCCAAGATAATTTTGAATCGATAAGGACACCAAGGTATTTTGTATGTTACTTGTAAAGGAATTTAGTGTATAGTCGAAGATATTTATGTTCATTCAACGATCAACACGTTTTTAACACGGTCTGAATATAACTGAGTTAGATTGTTTGAAAAAATAAGGAAAACTTAGTTTCTCAGAGGAGGTTTAGATATCATTTATGTACTGCAAGAACGGTAAGGGTCCTAAGACTGATCCTTGTGCTAATTAACAATTATACCACGAGCGCGCGTTGGATATGAGATGATAGATAGCCAACGAGGCGCGTAGCGCCGAGTTGGCTATAATCATCTCATATCCAACAAGCGCGAGTGGAATAATTGTTTTATTAAAAACGCCCCCAAGAAATTATCATTTTGTAAGAAGACACTGGATTTTTTAGCTCCCTTTTGATTTTAAGCTGACGCGTACGCTTACCATATTTGTAGATTATGGTATATTGGCTGATATACCATAATGGCTAAGCCAATAAAAAGTCTTGAATTGCATTATCCAATGATCCAGTTTTTAATAATACCACTGAGACAACAATCTTTCTCGGATACGTGAGCGCCGACCTGAGTAGCGTAATACCTTTTAAATAAGATATCTTTTAAATCTCTTACTGGACGTTTTGTTGTGTAGTATCGCTGAGTATTTCTACGAGTTGTGCCGTATTTTAACTCGCCTTACGGGCTCGTCAAAATACGGTACAACCCGTAGAAATACTCAGCGATACTAGACAACGAAACTTATATACTAAAACAGTGAGATAATATACACTGCTTCGTCGTTAATTTGAGTGATTTCTACGCTTGTCAACCGGGACGCCATTTTTTCCCGAGTTGCTCGGAGGTAAATAGCGATAGATATTCGGAGTTTGACTAGCCAATCAGAGCGCGCCTTCAACGCTATCCACTGTTTTAGTATATACTAAATCTATATATTTACTAATACGAGACGTTCCAAAGAATCCCATCCTAGTGATTTAATCATCTGAGACACACTACTGTGACGAGAGTAATCATTATTGACAAACCTTGCGGCACGTCGTTGGACCATCTCTATCTTATTGACATTGCACTGTTTACATGGATTCCACGCCCTACTCGCATATTCTAATTTAGGACGAACAAGCGAGCAAATAACTCATCGAGTAACTCGTCACATAACCCGTTGAATAACTCGTCAAATAACTCGTCAAATAACTCGTCAAATGACTCTTCAAATAACTCATCAAATAACTCGTCAAATAATTGATCAAATAACTCGTCAAATAACTCATCAAATACCTTGTCAAATAACTCGTCACATAATTTGTCACATAACTCATCACATAACTCGTTAAACAACTATAATTCGTCATGGTCCTTTGCGGCCTTGGTATCTTTGAGCTTCTGCATCCTACAATAATATTGCTCGGCTGTCGACACTTGAAATTCTACGCTTTTGATCAGGCTTCCGGTCTCGCTCTCGAATGGGCTAAATGCCCAGCAGTTAGGAGTTAACATTTACCAAAACGATATGAAAGGTTTCGAAGGGTTGCATTTCGTATATGGCTCTTTTACCAGTTCTTCTTTCAAAAAGTTCTTTCTATTAGCCAACAAATCACTGTGGAAACTAGTCAACATGTTCCTTCATTCTGTGTTTTGGTTCACTTAATGTAAAAATATCCGACAGCAGAGGTCCACCTTTTACTACAGTACCCCAAAGATCCTGTTACACTGCTTGAAAGTACAGCTTCACTGAGGTAAAAAGGAACAGCTTTTAAAATTCATGCTTCGTGAAAAAAAGTTTTCTCGGAATTCAGAGGATATATAGTCAATTTGAAACCGCGCCAGGCAGTCTGTTGAAGTGTCGTCAGCTAAGCAATTTTGTGGCTTGATAAGCTCGGGGAATTTGTCCAAGCTTTGGGAATTTGTCTAATTTGTGGGCGCTTATTCGAAAGGGGTGCTAGTTTGACATCATGGTCTTTTCTGCAAGTACAAATATCATTTCGTTATTTACGTCAGATATTTGGAAGATTTTCCGTTAAGAAGACATTTTGCAGCAAGAGAGAGGTGGATATCTTGGGCCCTTATTCCACGGAAAAAGTTCCGGTAAGTTCCTCCTTTCCCGACTACGTCACTAACACCGATTGACGGTGATTGGCCTGAGAAAGTGAAGTTACGCACATACATATCTACATACAGACATACATACAAATATACAGTTATTTGATAAGTAGGGTTTAAAATATGCAACTGTACGTGCATTTACAAAGATCGTAGTCAGATCTAAAAATGAAATCGCAAGAAAAATCAAATGGCACTAGACTGTTTCGACTGTTGTTTGATGATGGTACGGAAGTTTTGAGAGAGTATTTGCTCCAGAGTATTCGACGACGCAATCGTCCGCCATTTAATTCTTTACAAGGAGTGCTAAACAACAACAGAAGTATGCTTGAAAACTTGAGATCGGAAAGAAAGATAACCTACCCTCAGTGGAATCTTTTATTTCCTCGTTCAGGTGACCCACCAGACCCTGCATCATTCGACATAACGCTTTTAGTGCTGTTACTTCGACTTCGCCCAATTAGCGGCTTGACTGACGCGGATAACAGCGATAAAGCCAACATCGACAAGATCAGAGATCTTCGAAATGAATTGTGTCATGCACAATCCACCAGCTTTTCTGACACAGAATTCCAAAACAAATGGGAGACGATTTCTCGGTGTTTGGTGGCGTTGGGACTCGACCACGACAAAGTAGATCGTCGTAAAACTGAGCCTATCGATCATGACACTGAACGTCGAATAAACGAGGAAGTGGAGAAGTGTAAAATGGACTTCGAACCGCGGTTAGAAAAGCTGGAGGATGACAATCAGAGAATAAGAGGGGAAATTTCTGCTATTCAAGCGTCTATTTCAGAGCAACCCACTAGTGAACTTACAAACCGTCTTCCAGATAGAATTGAAGTCGTTGGACGATCCAAAGAGGTGGAACAAATCCTAAGTACCGTTCGAACTGAAAAGGTAGCTGCAGTTCTTGTAACAGGTGGACCTGGATTTGGTAAAACAGCCGTGGCGATAGAAGTGGGCCATGAATTGGCATCCAACTTGAACGAAGAGCGGATAGTTTTGTTTTGTCCCCTCAGATCTAAAGCAGCCATTGGTGAAGTAGCTACTTCGATGATCCTTACTAGCAGTGCAAACCACTCTCAACGACCAGAAGATCCCCAACATTGGCTTCGAAATTGGAGCAAACAACAACAGAAGAAAGTTTCTTTCATTCTGGACAACGCAGATGATGTTCTCGAATCAGTTGATCGAAGTGCATTTGTATCCATTCTAAGAGACATGAGAACTTTATCGAACTGTAACGTCACATTTGTTATCACTACGCGAAAAGTATTTAAAGACCGCAATTTGCCCATGGACTTCGTGAGATTGTGCCCATTATCCACTGAGCATGCAAAAAAACTTCTCTTGTCCAAAGTCCTTGATCCAGTTGCAAAACAGCGGCTCTCCAAGACAGATAAATTGGTTCAACTTTGTGGCTGTGTGCCTTTGGCGTTATGCATTGTTGGTTCATTGCTTTCAGACTGTCCGCTTACCGCAGATCAGCTCATTAAACGCCTTGAGGAAATGCCATTGGATGTTCTTAAAGAGGATGAAAGTGATATTAATTCTGTTGAAAAAGCAATTGATACTTCTTTCAACTACTTGAGTGAAAATGAACAAAAGGCTCTGGTACTTCTGTCAGTTTTTCCTGGCTCATTCAGGATGGAGGCTGCCCAAGCTGTTATTCAAGCAGAAGGTTGTCAAGGTGACCCTGTCTTCATTCTCCGTTCCTTGAAAAACCGGTCACTCATTGAGATGCCAGCCCCTGACAGATATCAAATTCATCGGTTTATTCAAACATTTGCAACGAAGGTTGATCAAGCCAAGCATTCTCCAGTCTTGCAACAGCAAGGGGAAAAATCCGCCTGCATCCACTTTATCTCCCACTTAGTGGACATTGCCAATTTGTACTGGAGCAAGGACAAGTGCCAAGAGGCTATTGACTCTTTTAACATGGACAGGCACAACTTTGAGTACTTCTTTCAGTTCTTTATCGAAGGACTTAAAAAAAAAGATCCTCAACTAAAGACAACCATGGAAAATGTAGTGAAGGAGATTTCCCAGACATGCACATTTTTAGAAATGTCTATTCTACCAGGTGATTATTTGAGGCACCTCACAGAGCTTTATCAGCTTTTGAAGTCTTACCAACAACCCATCACTAAAAGAGTGGAACTTCTCTGCCTCCTTGGGCATGAAAATAGAAAAATCGGTAATCAAAATGAATACAAGAAGCTGACAGAAGAAGCCGCAGCCCTTCACTCAAAACACTCTGAAGAATTTGACAAGGAGAAGGCCTCTGAGGCTTTTTTTTGCAATTTTTATGCACGGTTTCTTTCTCGAATGAATATGTTTTCTGAAGCCGAGAAACAATTCAATAAGAGTTTGAAGGTATGTGAACAACATGAACTAAAGTCTTCAATACAGAAAGGCATAAGTTTGCTTTATGCTGGACGAAGTTACAACCATCAAGATAAACGTGACCAGGCAGTGAAAAAGTTCAGTGAATCATTGCAGTTTTTTAGGGAAATTCTTGGCAATCATGTTTTGACCGCACTGCTTCTGAAGGAAATTGCAGATTTTTACCTCTTCCATGGTAAGAAGAGTCTAGGATCAGTGGATGACAAACAAAGATCAATTGAACTGTATGAAGAAGCTTTGGAAATGATGAAAGGCGTTGGTATAAAAGACCAGAAAGAATGCATTTTGCCACTCACCAACATAGGACTGTGTTATCAAATGCAAGGCAATATGGAAAAGGCAAAAGAAAAGTTTCAAGCATCTTTCAAAATCGCAGAACAAGAACTAGCAAAGAATCATAAGAGGAAGATCTATGTGATGACTCAAATGGCCTTCTGGTTTAAAGAAAATGGAAACGCAGAGGAAGCAAACATGTGGAAACTAAAGGCATTGAAAATAAGTGACACCCTTGAACTGCCAGACCACCAACCACCAAACAAATTTATGCTACACAAAATTTGAGATTGCAAGAGGTCACAGGCTAGCCAATTCATTTATTGGGGTGAGTGAAAGAAAAACCTGGGTGGGTACTAGGATTCAGAGAGGTGATCAGTCTTCTTTCATTGTTTTATGCACTAAATCATTCCCACTAACCAAGAGCCAGAAGCCATAGAAGTCAAAATGATAGTGTCTAAGGTGTCCTTGATCCACTTTTTTCAATTTTTGCTGTGGAAATGGTGCGCAAATTCTACTCAATTTTACTCAAACATTATTAGGGTGGCTTTGAAAATACACTACTGTAACAGCTTCTTTTTTTTCAAAAACTGTTCAGAAAGATAATTCATGATTATGCTAATCACAATGAAAACAAGTGAAACAAGTCACCTAATTTGTGTTTGCCTTACAGGGGAAGTAAGCAAAAGTTAGGGTATTCCTCAGTTAATTGCACTACACAACCTGTACTACACATAAAAATCATGTAATCAGGTGAATAGGCACACACATTCTATGCGTACAGTATTGTTTTTTCAATCAATAGACCAGGTAAAGAGGTGCCATGGTCTTTAGCTCTTGAACAAGCACAATGACATATATTTTTATTGCACTATATTTTATCAATGCATTATCTGCTTTAAATTGGAGAAATAAAAAAAAAACAAAACAAAACATCAAAGGGCAAAAAGATTTTGCTAAAAGTGTGCATGGGGTAAGTTTAGCCCATCATTTCTCTTAAACAAGCACCGTCTCACGCAGACCTATCTTTTTTATTGTACTTTTTTGAAAGACATTGGTAAGGAACATTTAAGAAAAGTTTTAAAGAATTTGTTCCAATCAATAACTTTTTTTTGAGCAATCACCTTACGTGTGTTCTCAAGAAGCTAGTTGTGTTAGTGACAGAGGGGTTTATGATATATATATTCAATTTGATGAAATATTAATCAAACCCTGTTGAACATTGATTAAGTATTCCTTTTCAACGAAACAACAGAAAATTGTGGTACAGTTAAACCTCAGTTATTCAGACATTGATTATCCAGATTTTTTTATTATTTAGACTCCCTTCTCTAGTGCCACTTTTTCCCAAACATTAATTAGTCACATTTAAGATCCATCACAACTTTTTCCCATCAAACAAAGCAGGCATATCGCGAAACAATGTAACGCTATAACCGTCAATGCAACTTCAATAAATGATAAAATTTATGTTAGCACTTTAGGTTGTTAAAAAATTGTTGTCATTAAACATTCAATAGTTGTAAATACTGTGGCACTGATGCACAATGATTAGAGAATGTACTTTAATTCTTGCTTAATATTGCTTAATGGTATGTATTCAGTCTTATTTTGGCTAACTAGTATTCATATTTTTGATTATCCAAACTCAAGAGTCCAGATAATCAAGGGTTGATTGTAGTATCAATCGATCAGTTGAATTTGTTGATGGACTTTTTATGAGCCACCTTAAATTTAGCTTGTTAAATAAGACAGAACTTTCTGTCTCATGGTCTCTTCATCCTTCAAGTTATTTTTTTAAATTTTACTTTTGACATAATTTGTATTTACAATTTTTTGAATTTTTTGTCTAGCTTTCATTGTAAATTTATCTTGGTACAATAGTTTAAGAGTCTACTTTTTACCATAGCATAATGATTGTATTAGGGCTACAGAGGATTTGCTGAGTAGCATCATATAACTTGATCTTATTAGTATTATTACTGTCAGTAATAATTATTTTTTTTATTATTTAACGCAGTTTTATGCACTCAGTTTGTACAAGAGTGCCCTTTGGTCCAAGGTCTAATTTTATAAAAAAGTTTCTGTCATTAAGACACCAATTTGTCATTAGATACAAAATAATCTTGTCAGTAACTGTGATGTTGCTGGTTCTAGGAAAATGTACTGAGTACCCTATTGCTTTCTTATCTTTACGAGTTCTCAAATTTTGATGCTATATTTTTGCATCAGCATGCAAATGTATGTTTTTTATATGTCCTTTATCTTTTATCGGGGACTGAGCAGGGATGGTACAGTGGTGAGGACTCACCACTGTGGCCCTGGTTCAATTTAAGGACCAAGCATCACATATGGGTTGAGTTTGTTGATGCTTCTCATTGTTTCTCAAGAGTTTTTTATTTGGGTCCTCTGGCTTTCCTTGCTCCACAAAAACCAACCTTCCAAATTCTAATTCTACCTGGAAACAGTGGAGAAGAAGAGCCACCTCGTGGAATGTCTGCTAAATTTCCATGTATCAATTCATTTTAATGAAATAGTCATTTTTTAAATTGTATCTTATCATGGTGGTAGCTTAAGTATTAGAATACTACAAATAGGAGTTGAAGTGAAACAATTAGGTTTGAGTTAATATTGGTTAGTTCAATGTGATTTATAAACTACCACTGACAGTAACCCTGTATGCTCGAACATCAATCAACATATTTTCAATACTGACTGCCCTATGCATTTATTTTGATATTGATTTTGGAGAATTTGTTTATTGATAACAAATGTTCTTTGTTGATATTGATGCTGATTTTGAAATTATTTTCAATACTCTTTGCTACATACAATTTGTTTGACAAACAAGAACTTCTTTAGTTTTTTTGGTTGCCAATTATTTCCTTTATTCTTGTAACCATGATGTTCAATTCACCAGTGATTAATTAACTCTGACGAGAAATCAACTACTCTAAATCACCCTAAAGAGTAAACAAGTTAAAATTGTTTATTTGGCTGACTCAATTAGTAGATCCACAACCAAATTCTCCAAAGCAAAATCAAAAGAATTTTATGACATACAGTTAGTAGAATTTGTAAAGAGATCTTGGGAGTGAATGGTTAAGCTTTTTAATTTGATTTGAGAGGTTGCTAAACATATCCACATCTTTGGAATGAAGTAAGTCTGTGGAAATTCTAGCTGGATTTGAATAGAGATGAGTTTTTAAGACCTTAATGGGAGCAGGAAATTGGCATAGTGGTGAGAGCTTTTTGCCCCCCACCACTATGGCCAGCATTTGATTCCCAAACCTGGCATCGCATATGCATTGAGTTTGCTTCTGGTTCTTATCCATGCTGGGAAGGTTTTTCTCTAGGTCCCTAAGTTTTCCTCCATCCACAAAAACCAACCTTCCTAAGTCAAATTTGACCCAAAAACAGTGGACGAGAAGAGCCACCCATCGAAATGTTCATTGCAAAATTCCCATTTATTTATATTCCCATTTATTTATTTATTTACAGTGGGTAAAAAGAAAGCCTTGAATTTGTGATAGGCAAAGGTTCTCAAAGGAATTAAACTTCTATGGAAAGGGTATAAATATTTAAAAAGATGTAACATCTTCCACTGTCCCAAACCTTCTTTATATGCTCCCTTAGACTCATATTCCAATAGAAGAAAAAAGGAGTGTATCATTCCTGCCTTGATTCATTTCTCAATGTGCATGTGTAGTTTAGAAAATGCAATAAATTCTTTGAGCTTTTTGTGATGGATTGTCTATTATAATATCTAATTAATATATTAATTAATATATTAATTAAAATAATATTTGTTATAATATCTAATTAATATATTCCATGAAATTTTTATAATAGTTTTTTCTAGTTTAAAACATATCTAATATATTTTTAGCCTATTTAAATTTGGTGATCTGTTTTCATATGGGGTCCTGGACTCCTTTACGGATTATCCATAGGGCGTTTCTTCTCTTTTCGCTTGTACTTTATAACTTTATTTGTTTTAACTGAGCCTTTAAATTGTAATAAATAAATAAAAAATAAAAATAAACTCAAGTTAAGTTTATCGTACATCTAATCTATTTGTGATGTTTGAAAATTGCACAATGAAGGCCTTAGAACAACTACCCTCCTGGGCTTTTAAATTTTATACCCATGTTAATCTGTCAGCTTTGTTAAAAAACAAACCTATAGTTTGCTCTTATTGAAAATTTTTATCACCTTCCTTCGAATGTAGAATATACTCGAAGCGACTTTACAATTGCTGCGTATTCAATCAAGCTACTCCAAACATAAACTCTTGTGTTGTCACTAACATTTCCTTACTTTATTTTGTCCCATTCAAGCGGTGCGTTGCACTACTTGGGGTATAGGAAGGTTCTCTGAACACTTTTACTATCCACACGTACCTCATTTTAAAGAAAGTTTCATTTCTCCTGAGCACTCCTTTGTCCCATAATATTAACTTGTCGGAGTAATTTTCAGGCAGCTAGAACTGCCTATTGTTTGATGACCAGAGAAACCCATGTACTTATATCTAGAGAAAGCGCACTTACTTTTCAATTCGATGTTAACGATCCTGAAAATTGTTCCCCCCCTCCCCCCAGAAATTGAACTCATGTTCTTTGCATTCAGTGGTTAGCAGTTGTTCTTTGCTAAGCACAAACAAAAAACATAAATCCAACATAAATTTGCAAATTCTCTGGGCTCTAAATTGTGTGGGTTCCTGCAGCATTAAAGCGGAGAAGAGGCGAAAACTTCTTTCCTCTCCCTAGCAAGGAAAGAACGTCACTTTGTGAATATTTGATCACATGATCCGAAGAGCTACCAATCATGAAAGAACTAACGTTGCATTTCCCGCCAAATTTGTTCTCCCGGGAAGAAGCTAAAAGCGATCAGTTGACGAGTTCTCGAAGAAATGTCTGGATTTGACGAGCGCCCGGTTTACTTCAGTGATGCTTTTGGGTCCGAGGAACAAGCAGATGAGCGAGAAGTGAACAGAATCAGTGCAAAGAAGCGATTTAGGGAGTTTATCCGTGAATTCCACGAAGGAACTTTCAGCTATGCGTATCGGTGAGCAAAATGGCGTGCTGTAGCATGGTCTATCAAGTTGATCTATGAAAAGGAAATCATACTTTGCATAGAATGATTGGGTAAAGCCCAGAGTTAAACAAAATGTAGCATAGCTTTTCTAGAGTCATATGTCTTCATAATTCAGCAAGAATTAGGGTTTGTATTCTTTAATCTCGCTGCTGGTTTTTTAGCCAAGCTGCCATGTGCTTAGCTAACGAAATATTTTGCTCAAGTTCGATCTGGTCATTTAAAATGAGATCTTCGTCACTGATTTAAGTCCATCCTTTCTATTTCGTTCAGTGATCAGCTCAAGAGACACTATAATTTAGGACAGTATTACCTGGAAGTGGATCTGCAAGATCTGACGAGCTTTGATGAACAACTTGCTGATAAACTTACCAAAAGTCCCGCAGAATTCCTGCCTTTAGTGAGTATATCTGGCTAACTTGATGTACAGTAATGCGAAATTCGATTATGGTGTTTGATTAATGTGTCTCTAGTTCGTTCATTTTGTCGTACTGTTCATCCCCACGAAATCGAATTTTCTCGAAATTATGAGTAGAAAGAATATTTCAACCAATTTTTACCTCGAGATGAAATTTTGAATCAGGGTGAAGTCTGTTTCGTTATCAACTTAGGTATCATATTTTTCCAACCGTGAATGTCCCCCCAAACTTTCCTGCCCCCAAGAGAAAATCCTCTCAATTTACAGCCCTATGACTTACAACAGTACAGATATGTTACAGGGTATGATACTTTTCAGAATTTGTTACATTGTGCCATCTTATTTTTAACCCTTCAACACCTAGGATTTGGTCAATAATTCTTCCATCTGACTGCAAACATATCCTTATAAATTACAAAATTACATGTTTTGGAGAATATAGCATCAAATAATTCTTGTTTTATAAAACAATAAAGTTCTAAACTTCATCAAAAATCTAATTTGTGGTATGTGACATTTTATAGTTTGAAGATGCAGCCAAAGAAATGGCGGATGAGGTGACAAAGCCACGACCTTTAGGAGAAGAGGAAGTACAGGATATTCAGATCACTCTCAAGTCTGAAGCGAACCCCATGAGTGTCAGGGAACTGCGAGTATGTTGTTGAATTTCATTGGCCATAATTCATTCCCATTCTTCAATGTACAGGCTTATTGATTCCAAAACATGGAGCTTTTGGGGCCAAAGAACTAACAATTAAACCAAGCTAAAAATGAAGCATACAGTCCCAAACTAGCAATGCGTCGGCAATTAATGCTTTATTACTAATGTGTTATTTGATGTATTTTCAGTCAGAGCAAATGGCAAAATTGGTGAAGATTCCAGGCATTATCATCAGTGCCTCTGCCATTCGTGCAAAGGCAACTAACATAACTATTCAGTGCCGTTCTTGTCGTAACACCATCTCCAACATTCCTCTAAAGCCAGGTCTCGAAGGATATGCAATGCCTCGTAAATGCCCAAGGTATAGTCTCTCTCTCTCTCATCTTAAGCCTAGGGAAGATTTTTTCATTTGAATTTTTACACCTCTATCTTTAGGAGTTTGGGAATTTAGGAGTTTGAGATATTATGATTTATGAAATTTAAAATTAAAGATTGTAGGAATTTAGATGCATGCCATCCCTTTTTCCTCTTTTTTCTTTCTTTCATCATTTATAATAACTAATGAAACTTGGGACCCTCTCCCTTGGGTGAACTCTGGTTCGTACAAGCTTGTTAATGGAATTTATGTTTATCTTACTGGATATCCCTTCCCCACAGTTATGTAAAGAAATTTTAAAATGAACGGCTGGCAGAACAGTCAGTAAAGGATCAGTGCAGTTTTTCTTTCTAAACAGACTGGATAAAAATTAAAAAAGCAGTGTAACCCTCAGTGTTGCTGACTGTATAAAATATTCTAGTAGTGGCAGGGAGCTTCAAGGATAACATAGCCACAGAAGTCTTTTTTTCCCTCTAAAAGAGCCTGCATTGGGAACTTTTGAACAGCTTTTTCTCTTAGGCCTTTGTTATGTCATGATAATGATTATAAAAATCTGTGTTTGGCAGTGATCAAGCAGGTCGTCCACCCTGTCCTTTGGATCCATTTTTTATCATGCCTGATAAATGCAAATGTGTTGACTTCCAAGTACTGAAGCTACAGGAATCTCCAGATGCTGTCCCTAATGGTGAAATGCCACGGCACATGCAGTTGTACTGTGACAGGTATGTACTAATTATTGTTAATGTTGATATAAACAAACATACTCATTGAGTTTTTAAGCTCAGCAGCCTATGATTGATGCTTGATAGTATGGCTTGTGGAGCTAAGGAAAAGTACTGTAAGCCAGATTTCCCCACTCAGAAATGTGTCTCTGGTAGATATCGGGATCTGCCACAAGTCTAATGAATCCTAACTTTTCCCCATTCTCTCAAGATTTCATCACCATTTCTCCTTACTGTTTTCCATACAGTTCTTATAATCAAACAACAATCATATGAAATACATATAT